AGTGCTTTAATCCGCTGTGCCACCAGGGAGAGCCTACTTATTTTTATTTTAATCCTTTAAAATTATATGCAAAGGGCAGGTATATTGTGCATAGACACAACTGGGTGGTAAGAGCTTCCCCTGAAAGGAACAGGTTTGTGAAAAGAAACAGCTGAATAGTGGTGGGGGCAGTCTTGGAAGAGAGCTGCCTCTGCTGCTTTGTGGGGAAGTTGGTGAAGAGAAACACCTGCATATTCACAGATGGTCAGGAGAGCTCAAACTAATGACTTTTTTTTTAAAGATTTATTTATTTATGCATACAGAAATGGGGTACAGCCAGAGGTGCAGGGGCGGCAAGAAGATTTGTCAGAGACAGAATAGAGAGCAAAGCAGGCCTACTGACAAAGTACACTGCTGAGGGGAGCAACGGACAGGCCAGGAGAGGTCTGCTGTGACATGTGGATCACTTCCAGGGTAGGCAGGAGAACTCATGCTGAAGTGGCTTTAGCTTCCCAGTGCAGTGCTTTAACCTGCTCCGCCACTAAGGAGGTCCCTCAAACTAGTGACTTTTAAAGAAAAATTGTGGAACATTTTGAACAAGATTAGGCTCACAAATTGAAAATTGTGTGAAATGGATAAGTTCCTTGAAAGACATATTAACAAATTTCACTGAAGAAAAATAGATTATCTGGATAGACCCAGATTAAATATGAGTTTTTAGTTAAAAATCTATCCTTTAATGAAAACTCCAGGTCTATACACTTTACTGGAGAATTCAACTAAACATTTAAGAAAAGTATCAACTCAATACAAACATTTTCTAAAAACTGAAGATAAATTTTCCCAGCTCATATTGTGTATCTTGCATAACCATGATACTAAACTTAGGCAAAAAAAAAAAAAAAAAACACACACACACACACACAAAACTGTAGACCAATAAACTTTTGTAGATTGAATATAACATAACCCAGTAGAATACATCATAGAATGAATGAAACGAATGGGGTGGATTTAATATTCAAAATAAATTCCATATAATTCACCATATGAAACTAAAAAAGAAAACCCATATTATTTTCTCAATAGATGTACAGAAATTATTTGGTAAAACCCACCTTTCATTCCTGATAAAAGAATTCTAAGTAAAGTTTGAATAAAAAACACTTTCTTTTGCCTGATAATTGATATCTACTAGACAAGTAGTGATGTTAATTTCAAAATAAACATACTTAAGACTGAAATACTGAACGGCTCTTTTCCCTCTAAGATCATGAAGAATAAGAATGCTCATTCTGGGCCCTCCCTGGTGGTGCAGTGGGTTAAAGCACAGCACTGAGAAGCTAAAGCCACTTCCACATGAGTTCGATTCCCGCCTGCCCCAGAGGTGACCCCATGGTGCGGCAGACCTCTCCTGGCCCGCCCACTGCTCCCCTCAGCACTGTACTTCGTCAATCTGCATGTTCTGCTCCCTGCTGTGTCTCTGGTGAATCCTATCACCCTCCGCATCTCTGTACTGTACCCCAGTTCTCTATGAAGAAATAAATTTAAAAACAAATCCTTCAAAAAAAAATGTTCATTCTTATAACTTCTGTTCAACTTTACTATTCATATCCCATAAATTCTACTCCATTTTATCTCATAAAATAAGACAAGAAAAATAGCCAAAACATCAAGGTTGCAAAGGAAGAAGTAAAATTGTCTTTATTTTCATACATAACTATTATGGAAATATGAGGTTATCAACAAAATGTTACTAGAACCAGTAAGTTCTGGTAACAAGACTAGAATGTATAGGTTCTAGTAAAAAGTGAATTTAACAAATTTAAAGAGCACAAGATCAGCATATAGAAAATAAGCAACTAGCAATTTAGATTAAAAACAATACTATATAATGCCATCAAAAAAAAATTAGGTACCTAAGGAGAATTTACAAAAGATATGTAACCTCTGGACACTTAAACTAGAAAACTTTGGTAAGGTATTTCAGGAAGGTATGTATAATATGAGAGATGTTATATCGTTTGTATTAAGGTGATACAATATTGTGAAGATTGTAACCACCCCTAAATTAAAATGAATGACCATGTCAGGTGTTCGCAAGAAAAGTTGAAAATTTTGCTTATTTCTGGTGGAGAGGCAAAATACTAGAATTCCCTTAGAATATGGTTTGGCAGTACCCTTAAATTTTAAACATACACCTTGCATATAGTCTTGCTATTCTACTCCTTCATATCCAAGAGAAAGGGAAAGAAGTCAGACATACAATGATTCAGTTTATATCGAAGGCAGACAATGTACTTATTTGTAGTGAGATAAGGTAAAGCTGTGGGTGGTTGGGGGTAGGGCATGGAGAGGAAGGGAAAATGGGAAGGTAGGAATTACAAAAATTTTGGGAGGAAATTTTGGGAGGTGATAGCTATGTTCACTGTCGATTGTGGTGATAACTTCTTACCGCTTTATAACTTGCTTTAACAAATATTTGCAGTATAATTACTTCAATAAAGCATTTAAAATAAGCAGTTAGTGGGTATGTTTGTCCAAAGATTAACTGTGTTTTAGGTTAACTTCTAGTTGATTCAGATGCACAAGTTCATTAAACCTTAACTTTGAAAGAAATACTGCTTTATGGAGATTTCTGCTGAAACCACTGTCTTAAATTCCATAGACTCAAACTTACCATATGCCACTTAAGCAGAGTATGGTTAGAAAAAGAGCTGAAGTCAGCTGAAGTCTGTACAATTGTGAAAACCAGTGTTTGCCACACCCGAGCTAGTACTTGTTGGTTAATGGGCATGTGATAAGTTGATTGATGACCTGATTTAAGAGTGCAGGGCCAAAAATGAATATAAGTAAACTCACTGAGTTTTATTTTCTCATATGAAAGTGGAGATAAAAGTCTTCAGACATTTTAAAGTCTTAAATATTGCCTTTAGAAGCACATTCTGCACTGCCTCTTCAATTTTTAGACAATATCTCAGTAGGGATTGAGTAGGAATGATGTTTAATTATTTTAAATCTCTACTATTGGGTTTTAGATTATTTTTTATTTTCATCTATTATATTATTATAATTCTCTTTATACTTGAAAATTGTTTTATTGGAGTGTTTGAAATTAAAAATATATAGTGTAACAAGCATGTGACATTTTAAATAATTAAAGTATTTAATAATTGACAAATTATCTTTAAATTTTATTCTAATATATATTTACATGTGTCACATGAAAGACTCCTTTACCAGAGAGATATGCTAGGTTTTTGTATGTATTCTAGCCAATATTGATTTTCTTTACCTTCTCTGGTTAAAATTAAAAGAAAAGCAGGGTTATAAAGTTAACAGCGTTTAAAAAGACCTCGCTCTATGCTCAAAGTCCAACATCTAGTTCATCATCAAATGAAAACCCTAAAGGGGCTAAATGAATTAATGTATCTACTAATTTGTTCTATGTAAATAACTTGTGCTTTTCCTAGAGGGTCATAAAAAACATGCTATCTGTTTGGAATAGCCATCTGTGTCGATACTTTAATATATTCTTTAATATATTCTTTAATATATTCTAAATACTTTTGTAAAGTCACCCCATGTCCTGCCCAGTTGAGGTTGAAGCCCAGGATCCTCTATGAGTACTGAGTTAGTAGAACATTTTGGTTCCTTTCAAGAACTCTAAATGCTAGCTAGACTAGAATACATCCTGAAAATTTCAGGAAGCATTACTATTAAATTTTTATATCTCACTTCCTTATCCTAGTTGCTCCTCAGCAAACAAACAAAAAATGATTTGTTATCATACAAACTTTTCAAGGCATTTAGTGATACTTCCATATGAACCTCTGATCCAAGCTACACATGTATGTCTAGCCTGGTATCTTCAGTTTAGCCTTCTTCAACTTTACAAGTATCTCAGTGACTGACTACCAAAGCATGGTATAATCTTGGTACACTATCACTGCTCATTTTCTCATCAGTATGCATTTTATTCCTTCATTTCTCTTATTTCCGCTTGTCCAAGCTAAAGATGATACTGTGTGAGATCTAAGTACATCAATCCATCAGCAAATACTTTTCTACTTCTCCTTTGCCTTGTAGTGGCCTCTTATATTATTTCAAATCTTAGTGAAAGTCATCTCTGTGCCTCTATGGCTAGCCAGAAATTAGGAGTAATTAACTGATGTATTTGTGCTTGTGAGGTACTATTTATTTTATTAGAACTCATGATGAATTCTGAATTATTGATGATTTGTTTCTATATTTTGAGGATGATAATTAGTTGTTTAATCTCTTTAACCACATAAATACCACACATCCAGGGTTATGTTAGGTTTTCAGTTGATATTTAATGGTTGCTTCATTGTGTGTTAGTTCTTTATGGAAGAATAATAATAATAAACAAGCAACACAAAATGTATTCAATTTCCTTTAATAAGTATTTGTTATTAAAAAAAAAGAGGTATAAAGTCCTGTTCCCAAGTCCAAACTTCTTAATGTAAACCTTGAGTTTTTTGAATTACCAAATTTGAAGTAATTCTCTTTATACCTGAAAAATGACTTCATTGAAATGTTTGAAATAAAAAAATATGTATTGCAAGAAGCATATGGCAAAAATTTCAGGAGTACAAAATTAGTTGTAGAAATAACAATTTACTGATAAACCCACATTGTATTAGAAATGTGCAAAGCCTTTTGCTATAAAAATTTGTTTGAACTTTTAATACTCAGCACCTATTTTTATAACTTTGCATGGAAAGGTAACTGCATATATTTTTAAAAATCAACATAAGATCAAGGCTCAGTCTTCTCAATCGACTAATAGTTCATCACTGAGATTTCACAAGAATTTTCTTGATGGATTTCAAAATTAGCCAGAAATTTTAATGGTAAGAAGTTAAAACCTAAAAAAAGTGTTCTAGTTTCCTCAGTTCCCATCCCACAAAAGGCTAGCCCATAATTTCTTTCATGTTTTGCATTCAGAAAAATAAAATTAAATTTGCATTCAAAATTCTTTCAATATTGATTTTTTTGTGCTGATGGTTCATTTCCAGAAGTCAAAGTAGATTTCATAATTTTCCCTTCAGACAGATTGCTAATTTATGGGTTTTATAAACTTTGTTGCTTGGTTTCTGTATTTTCATTGAGAACGACCTTCCCTTGAACGCCTTCTAGATCCTGATTAGGAAGAAAAGAGAACAAGAAGATTTTAAATATTATGAAACTTTAGAATTTAACAATATGATGTTCTACGCAGAGTTGTTCCTATAAAAACCACCTTTTCTTATTGTAATATATGTTGGAATTTGTTTTTTTTTCTTGATAATATCCTCAGTTTACAGTGATGAAGTTAGGGTTTCTCTTGAACAAAAGTATTTGAACATAATTTAAAAGTTTAATGACTAGTTCTTTGGAAAATTTGGATGAATTTGAATGTTAAAAAGAATTTTTGTAAGGCCTTCAATTATAAATATTTGTACAATGAACTCTTTAATTCCTATATTGGCATTAGTCATATATGCCCAAAATGCTTTCATAGGCCCTGTACCTTCTTTTGACTATTAATTTGTAATTATATTAGAAATTCAACCTTATAATTGCTTAGAAGTTCCACAAGAGACACCTTTAATTTTTTGAACGTATAAGAATGTATTAGGAAATGCACATAAATATAGTTATAAAGAAAATTATAGTGAATATATATTTGGATATCATCTATATATTTACATGGACACTTTGTACATATTTACACTGATACTTTTTCTATGTGCACAGTTTTTAACATACTTATGTTTCAAACTGTATTCTCATCTCAAACAGTAACATTTTGACAGAGTTCAGTTCTAACTGAAACTTACTTTTGTTCAGTTCTGGTATTCAAAGATGCTTTTTACTTTACTTGAGTGGTATTCAAAGATGCTTTTTACTTTACTTGAGTCTGTCTCAATGGTTCAACGTTTAGCAGTTTGCCTCAACATAATTCATAATTATAATATACATAATGAATAAATTACCTTTACTTGGACATTTGTTATTGATAATTTTACTAATAATGCATAACATGAAGAATTTATATCCTGATTCTTATCACAAAATACTTTGCTTCAAAAGAGGCTAACTTTTCTTCTGTACAGTTCAATAAAATGTTAAAACTTTTCTTTTTTTGGTTTCCCCTATTATAAAAACTTATGCCATGTCTACACATTATTATCACCAATGCATTTACCTTGCACTCTCTTGTTGACTTCCATCTTCCTCACAGGTGTGTCTAAAATTAAATAGTTATGATTATAAGTACTTTGAAATTATAACTAACATCAGAAGGAGACTGTTGTTAAGCAGAAAAGTATAAAGTTTCAAATAAGCATCACTGTAAAATGTAAATTTCTTTGATGTATAAGACTTCTGGCTCTGTAAAATTCTTTTTATAATTAATGAATCCCTTACATTATATGAGGATGCAAAAATATCACTGACCTACTAACGCTGGGAATATAGGCAGCTAATGAAATATGTGCTAACATACCCCCAAATTTTGTTCTTCTTATAAAACCATTAAAAAAAGGTTATCTAGTTAAAATAGCACTTTCTTATTTAAGAATTTCATGAGTGCCAATAAATATTGCAGGTTTGTGTCATTATAGTTAAAATATTTCCCAATTCACTTACTTTTTTTGGATTTATCAACAAAATCTCCTAGTAAGTCTAAATTCACATTTTTATTCTATTGCTGAGCACTTGAGATCAGAGAATACATGCATTTTATAAATGAATGAACAATTTTCTGTATGTCTTTATTCTCTTTGCTCATTTTTACTTCCTGCTTTCATATGTCATTATCCTCACCAAATAAAATTTTCTATGAAGTCTAAACTTTCAATTTTCTGAAATCCCATGAAAATCAAGGCATGAAATTATCACCATTTTGATTGAATGATACCAAGTTAAAAGAAAAATTAACATAAAAAAAGAGTTCAAAAGTCTTTGCTGTCTACATTGCCCCTTTCCAATGATGAATGCTCAATTAACTGTTAATTTATCACTACTTTACTATGATAATCGCAGAATAAGAAATGTTCATTGTGACAGAGAATATCTTTACAAGACAGTAGGAGTAAAGTGCAGAAAATCAGACTTGATCTCAGTGGCTCTCTGCAGCCTCAAATGAATGAGCTATAGCAGGTCTTGACTAGAGAAGCAACATGTGGTGGACAATCAAAAGTGACCCCAAACCTGTCTATCACTGTGCCCCTCTCTTTCCACTGACTTTCTGAAGCAGGCAGTGTTTCAGCCCAATTCTTTGCCGGATCTTACATTTTTTCTTATTGGTCTAGAATTTAAATTAGGATATAAAATGTGGCTTTTATATTAGTGTTCATTAACCATAATATTAACAGTAGCTAACATGACATATGGACTGAGCATTATTCCAAAGCATTTTCATGTTATCTCATTTCGATGTAGGTAACATTGTTGACCCAGCTTTTCAGATGAAGAAACCATGGCAGAGAGAAAGGGTCAACTTAAGTGAGTTTGATTTGGAACCAACATTGGAAACTATATTGTCAATCTGATTCCTTATTCTCTGTAGAGGATGTGGATCTTTGAATATTTTATTGGTAGGTATGTCCAAATATTCCAACATGACTTTTTTTTTCCTTTTTCCAAAGTCCAATGGTCTCTCTTAATTAGTAGCTTCAGTAAAACAGTTCTACTTAAAAAATTACTCACTGCATGGAATTTTTAGTAAGGTTTCTGAGATAGTTCAGTAACAATTACAATATTATTACCAAAAGAACTACTTAGTCATGATAGTAATCATGATTCAAATGACTAGAAATATAGTCAGTTTATCACAATGTACTCTGTGTACAGTAGTATGATCTGCTCTAGAAGAAAATATCAAATTCTGAGAAAAACAACATAATTTGGATATATTCAATTATCTATATTTACAAAGAAAAAAAAAAAAAAGCCAGACTTGCACGACATGATCTTTATTCACAACAGCTTCTTTATGAGTCACTGTATCTGAGGATCTAAACAAGAGTCTGTTTGTAACTCACTGATGGCCCAAAGGTTTTACAGGGCTAGAAAAATGAAAGCTAGCATGTGCAATTAATAGAATAAAAACTAGCATATCCATTTAAGGGATTAGTAGCTACACTGCTACTAATGAAATGATTGAAAATATATGAAAATGATTGATAAATATATATGATGTGATGTTGTGGAAATTGATGCTCTGTAAAGGAGGAGTTACAGAAAGTCCTTTACTGAACGTGGAATACTGTATTATTAACTTAGAGCAGGTATATCTTATCTTGACTGAAGCTACTTGGTACTTAGTTCACTGTTTATTATGGACTGTCAATGGGGACTTATTTAAGGTGAGGAAAATATACTTACCTGAGGTTGAAGCCTAAATTAAAAAAAAAAAAGGAATACAAATAGGTGCGGCTACTAATTGATCATTCTCTAAAAGCAAAGCTGTTTACTATGGTAAGGAATGAAGAAAAACAGAATTCAATTTTATCAAATTTCTGTTTTCTTGACAGAGAGTTAAGAATTTGGGAGATGAATAAAGTCTGTTTTATGAGATTCAGAGTTTATTATGGGTGTGCTATATATTACTAAAGGAAAATTTTGTATCTTTCATTACATATCTCTCTACCATTTTTATGATCATTACATAGTCTCAGTACATTGGTAAGATCTGCTCTATATTAAAATAAATAATTGGTAATTTCCACAATTAGACATGATCACAGGATAATTTATATATGCACGTATATTTGCACATAGGCACACAATTTTTATGATTTTATGCAGAAAAGTTATCTGGATCAGACTTTGAATAAATGCCAATCTTCAGTTGTATTTCTCAGTTCATAGGTTAAGTTTAAAGGGGCACATCCCACTTTTCTAAACAATTAAAACACTTGTTCCTATAAAACAAATTTCTATCTAGATACTTGTAGTTAATAAAATAACTATTTATTTAAATGACAATAGCCCAAGTTATGTTTTATATATGATGAGAACATTTAGTGTACCTTCAAATAATTACCATTTAGATTTTTGTGTAAGATTTTGAATTCTTTTTTTTCTCCATTGCTTTTAAAAGTAGGTCATTTTAATGCCATAGACAGAGAACATTCCATACTTAAAGTTAATTTCATATGCAGAATAATTTACATCTCCAGATATGAATTGTCACTCAAACTGTTAGAAGAAACAGACACCCATTCTTAAGAATGTAGTTTTGGAAAAGAAAATTACTAAAGAAACTTTTTCTGCTAGATAGATCTATGCACTTCAATATTCCATAAACATGCCTTTTATTATTGTTGTGAGAGCAATGAATACATTTTTTTAATATAAAATGTCTTTCAATTTGGGCTTTTTAAACTGACAATTTAAAAATATTTCTCCTTCACATAGTTAAAACATCTTTAGAATTATCTGTATGTATCCAAAGCCAAACATATGTATATAAATATATATTCATTGTTCCCAAATTTTATATCAAAGAACTTTTTAAAGACTGTTTAATGTAGCAATTATTTCTTCATAACTACCATTGAAAAATCAATCTGTTAGCATATGGTGGTGTTTATTAACCTAATTAAAAGGAAAACCTGAATTCTCAGTCTTTAAAAAGTCACCAGAACCTGTTAAGAGGTTAGTTGTTTCCCTTTTACTAACCTCCCTGAAGCAGTCTTTTAATTTCTTCATCTTCATATAAATGACCATCACCACCTTCAATGAATTTGGTGACCTTGGTGACCTCTGAGAGGATACATGTTTATAGTAGATTGGTTTAGGTAAGAAAAAGACAGGAGATGTGTTGTGATATATAGTGTCACCTGCTCCGTAATGAATTCCAGACCAACACTGTTCTTTCTTGTTTTTAGGTTTTTTTTTCTAATAAGCCAATTTTCTCAGAATGCTATTGAACATATGTAGTAAATGCATAATACAAGAATCAATGTGATTGTCAATGAATTTTATCTCATCTTTGACATCAGTAATTTTATTTCAAATTACTGATTTGGTATGGCATGTGAACAAAGAAATGACATGAAGTAAAAAACATGTAAAAGCTCTCAAAGATTATTTTGGAATTTGATACAGATAGCTTAGCTAAGGTCTTATTCTCCTATTTCTAGTCACACTGACCTTCTTGAAATAGTTTCTTCAGAGTTTCTTCTGTTTCTCCACCACCAGCAGCAGTGATTCTAGTGTATTTTATTTCAGGTCCTAGAGGAAAGACAAGTTAATAAGATCTAAACAGATTAGGCAATTTCCTCTGCAAAGAACCAAATATTAAGAATCTTATTTTTTTATTTTTACCTTGAAAATTACCTATAATTCTTTCACTTTAAGCAGCTTTATTGAGGTATGAATTCCAAACAAGTCAGTTACTGTCAGCATACAGTTCTTTGGGTTTCATTAAAATACATAGTTATACAACAGCACCGTATGTTAGTATGCTAGACTGCTTCCACACTGAAGCACTTTAAATTGTCATCAGTGAGTCATTATTTTGGAAGATAAATGACTAATCACAAATGATGATCAGTGGTGTGTGGTAGGAAAGTAAAAAAAAAAAAAAACTCTATTATTTTGAATTACAGTTTCTAGGAAGGAAAATGAAGATTTTGGACAAATATTGTCTGAAAAATTAAAATAACTCTGATGGCAAACATGTAGTATAAACAGATGATGCTTTATATAGATGTGAATCTGAAACATGTATTTTATAAACTAGTGTTAAATTCAATACAAATTTTAAGAAACTTAAAATGCTATATTACATTTTAAAAATAATTCTTTTTTTACAAAGTAAGTGATAATGTATAACAAGTATTTATTGTAGTGTTTGTACTGGCAAAATATTTGAAACACACCTAACAAGTTAAGGTTAGTTAATAAATGGCAGAACTTCTGCTGAAAAGAATCTTTTATAGCTGAGAAAAAGGCAAGGTTGCCCTGAAGGTATATGTAAGGAAAGATCTCTAGGGTTTATGAAAGATGTGCATTTTTAGTGGGATGTATATTCTTCTTTGCTTGTGTTTTCAAAACAATGGAAGAAGACAAAAGAAACTAATAAAATAGGTTACTAATGTAAATATGGGAAACAAATTTAAGTGGAAGAGGGCAGGGGTGGAAGTTAGCTTCATGCTACCTGGATACTATTTTATATTATTTTAAATTTTGAATCATAAGAATGTTGCCTACTAAAACATAAACTTTTAATGCAATTTCAGATTTATTAGATGATTTCATATTACATTTTCCTTGGGTAGAGAAAAAAAGATAAAAAAGATAAAGTAATGTGCTCAGTTTGCTGTGAATAGTTTGTCACAACAATACAACTCTCATTATAATATGAAAACAACTATAAGCATTATATAAATGAATGTATACACAGTGTTCCAATAAAAGTTTAAATATTTTTAAGTAATTAAAATGGGCCATGGTTGCTAACTACTTACTTGATCAATTACCGATTATCCAATTCAGAATTTTAGGGTAATTTATTTGTGGGAAATGATGCAGAGGTTTATAGAAATTATTAATCTATTGTTTATACAAACATGCATGTATTTTGGGTTGCCTATGTAAACCTTAAGACTTAATGGAAAATCACGGAGGGAATGGCTTTTTTTTAGAGGTCATCAATTCATTAATAAATAGCCAAGAGAAGGTAGAGCTTTGTATAATATGTATGTATGCACATAATAAAACACATGGATAAGCATGCCTACTAATTTCTAATTCAGGTAAAATACAGACTGTATATATGGAATATTATTTTTGTTCCAAAACAAATGAAGTCACTTTAGTACCACCACCATGAAAATGACTTTGTTTCTCTAATGATTCCTAGAGTTATTTTAGGATTAAGTACTGTTTGATTTTTAAAATCCAGGTAGAATAATACAGATGAAATTAAAAATCACCTGTAATGATTCGCTCTTCCCTTGTCTCTTTTTCAGTTATTTCCACAGGTACTCCATCAATGATTTTTGTGTATTTCTTAATAATTGGCTCTGAATTCAGGGAATGAAAAATGCATTTGTTTTATCTTTTTATGGTGTCTCAGTTGCCATAAACTAGAAATGTAAAATATATTTCCCAAAACAATACTATTTAGAATTCAGTCTTAATCACTTCAGAGACCAGTCTTAAATAAATTCAGATAAAAGGTAGCAGTTGTGGCCTAGGTCTGTATGAGAGAAGCTAACTGGCAAAGTAACTCTGTTTGTAACCTTATTTCCTGAGTGGAAAGATTATTTAGTGGGAACTTTACTTCATTACAATAAGAAGCCCAGTAATGAATCCTAACTGTGATTTATTACCCAGTGTTATACAATGGCTTCTCTATTTCTAAGTCCAGTGTGTTCTTTGGTATGGACATCATTGACATTTTTGTCTTTCACATCATTTCCTGCTTATGCAGAGCTGATGGCTGTTTTGTTGGACCTGGTGACATAATGACTTGTTTAATTCCAGTGTCAACGTGGATTTAGCCTTTATGAAATAAGCTTTAAATGTTTTTGGTTGTTTCCGTTAAGGAGTATTTATGAGGATAAATGATTCAGTCTATGGATTTGCTACTGAGATAATATGTGACTCCACTTTGTGAGCCATATAGTATATGTAAATATGACCTAGTCTACCAGTAACTAACATAGCTCTAAATTTACCATATTGATATCATCCATTAATTTTTTATTGTTAGTTTAATTTGTTTCTAATAACTCAGTAGCTTACATTATTTAATCTAGTGGACATAAAGCTGAGCATTTAAAAAAAACTACCTTTAAAAAACTGAATTTCAGGTTTTATGAAAAAAAATGGATTTGCATACTTACCTTCTATATGGCAAATGATACAAATATTTACTAATTAATAAATAGTCCTTCAATGAAATCGGTAAACCGATGTTGTATTTAACTTGCAAAATGCTTTTGTTTACAGAGAAAATCCTTTTGACTGTTAGAAAGCTGATTACTATATTAGTTAATCAAAACTACTTCATAAAAGAAAAATAAGGTTCAGTACATTTAACTCTTACTGTAATACACTTTAATAATTTAATATAATGATCTTTGTTACCATTGAGATTTATTTCCTTGTCCAGAAATTGGGAATATATATACCATTACTCAGAATTAAATAGTATAGCACAATCTAAAATAATGAAAACAAGAGTATAATTTTCTCAAACACCATGATATTTGATCTGTGGGGCAAAGAGTTATATGATCAAAATTAAAGTCAGTTTTTTAAGTTATAGAAATAATCTATTCCTTTTTTAGAAAACTGCATCTAACCTTCTTACTGACTAAAGATGATAGCCTGTTCTTTTGAGTGTGTGTATGGTAAGTTGCAGCACTAAGATGTTTGTAAATGGGAGTAAGACATTCTTAAGATCTATTCTTGCTAATAATTAAATACATGAAATGAAGGTGCAGACATAGATATAGGAATTGGCTAACACAGACAATAGGGCAGAGAGACGGTGACTAATGTTCTAATCTGAAGTCCAAAGAGAGAAGTACATGAATGTATAATCTCATATTTATATCAACACACACACACACACACATAAATTCAGGGCAAGGATTATCTATTTCCTTTTATATTTCTGATGGTCTAATGTTAAGAAAAGTCATGTCATGTATTGCTATATTTTAAAAGCTTTCTCAATGCACAACTTTTTTCTCTTAAGTGGTTGGATGAAAAGTGCTTTCACATTTTGGGGAAGAACTTGGAATAATATAAGAAGAGATCAGAAGCAAAACTACACAAATAATACACTCTCCAAAAGAACTAACTGTCATTAAAAAAAAAAAAAAGCTTAAGATTTATTTGCTTAATGAGTATCTGGATACTACTGGTGATACATAAGTCAATCAGGCTCAAATGAAATCAAGTATCAAGCAAATGTACTGAAAAGTTTTAGGAATGCTGTACTACTCTGCTAAACAATTTGCATTCCACATTCTGCAATCATATGAGCATGCCACTGGTATAGACATATTTAGGTTGTTAGTTTCAAAAGGAATGTAGCTACATTCATACAAGTCAGTCCATTACATGGATTTTTTTCATAATAAAAGGAGCCATGTATAACATTGATTTTTTACCTTCAGTTTTGATAATAGGCTGAAGACTGTCTTCAATCACTTTAATTTTTGGTTCTACAACTTTGGTTATAATTTTAGTTGCTGAAAGTATAGAAAGTGGAACATAAATGATGTTTCCATGAAGACACCCTGACCCGGTAGCCTATTTTTGATCTGATACCCACTGAGGAATCAGATGTGATAATACGTTCTGGCAGTCAAATCCAGGAACTATTCATGATACATTATCTAGTGTCTTCTCATATCCAGATGGTGAACTCTGAAGTCCAGTGACTTGAATTTGTTCCAGTGAACTATCTACTCACTAATTGAAGAATTCTATCTAGAAATCTATCATTTTGAACTGCACCACTAAAGCTCTTTACCTTCTTTTGTACTTCTTGAAAATAATGGCTGCATTGCAACAGAGACAAATAAACATGATTAATATCATGCAGTTCATAATATCTTAAATTTCATTGTTGGATTCTTTCTTAAATAGAAGACAAAAATGAAAGAAAAATATTCAAAACATTTTCATGCATTTGATAGTAGGGATATAGAAAGGAATATACTAGCCAGCCAGTCATGAGCTCTATGCAACAAAATATGATATGATTTGTATCTCAGAGGCTAAAATATTTTTATTTCCAGCTTTGCCATCATTGCCATTTTTAAAAATAAGCTATGTATTTTGAATGTATATCATACACTCAATTGAGATATAATGTGCACACTTTCTTTAAAATATTAGTCACTACTTGAATGGCTTTTGGCAGTGCAGACTACCGTCATTTCTAATTAAAATCATTAAAAGTGTTTCTGTAAGATAATGGGCTAACTGCGAAGTCACAGCAGATTGTGGCACAATTTGCCTTTCTGTCACATTCTCATGTTTCTAAGGTGTCAACTTTTAAAATTAAGATGATTTCTAAGTCTTAATTTTGACTATGTGTTAGTCATAGCTGATATTACTTATTGAGATCTCAACTTATGAAGCCTAAAATATATCAAATCTCTGTGGCCAATTACTGATTTTATAAGTGATCTTGCCACAGAGTGATGAATGTGTGAAGATTAAATTCAGAGATCTTAGCTTCTTGCTATCAAATGGATTAATTACTTTTACCTTAAATTTTCACTTCATGTAAGGGAAGTGAAAGTTTATGATATTTAGTTTATTGGTAGTTTTACTTCAGTTTTGCTTCTCTGAAGACCTGATAGATTCAGGATGAGGAGCAAATGTTGACTTTATTCCTATTTACCTCAAATATGATAAATTTGAAAACATAAGCCAAAGAACATTTCCCTATAGAATTTAAAATATATGGTATTTGGGGGACAAAAGTTATTCTCAAGGACATGAAACATTTTATAAAGGACTTTCAATGTGAAATCTTTTCTGTAATTAGTCTCTACCCCCATTTGAAGTAGGCTTCTAAATAGCAGTGTGCTCATATGGGTATGACTTAAAGAAATATCTGATATTGAATGTAAATCTCAGAGTTGTGTCATGCACTCGAAAGCAGGTTGGTGTGCTCCATTGGATTTTCATAATTTCACACAATGTAGTCTCATTTGTGAGTGAGGATCAAATTTTCACAGAGGAAAATAATGGAATCATAGTATTTTGGCGATTGTTATCTAATTAGTATATTGACATAAATGGAAAATGGGCCTACCCCCTGAATAAAGCAGGAAAGGAAAAGAAATGTGGTGCTAGTAATCATAATTTGTGGAGAAATTTGACATAACATTTCTGATGAATAGAGCCCATAAGAATTCTTTAATTTGTTATAAAATATATCATTAACAAGACTGCATAATTCCTTACTGGATTTACACTATGTTGAATCATAACTATTCTAGATACACCTAGAGAACTGTGCAGAACCAGCACAATACTGTAATTATGTATGCTATCATTATATAATTGAAATCAGTAAGCACAGCAGACATTTTGTTTTGCTCCTTCCATTGTCTTGCTTTTTCCATATCTACTTTAAATCTTATTGAAAACTAGTTTCATTAAATAACAGATGCTCATGGTATAAAATAGGGTATTTTTCTAACCAGGATAAATGTGGGAATTGAAATAAGACTTTAGTTACTGATACATTTTGAGAGTCCAGTTCTAGAGTCAAAACAAAATGAAAATAAGTTCTGCTGAAAAAATGATAATTGAAGAAAGAAAAAAGGGGCAAAAGAAGAAAAAGTCCCATTGGAAAAGAAATTATCACAAGTTATGGTTATGAGAAGAGAAATGAAATTTCTTTACCATTGTTAAATAGTAGAGGTTACTTTTGATAATCTGGTAGCATCAAGAGACAAAGAACATTGGAATCTGGAAACTTTAAGTTTTATTACCTGATAAACTTATTTCTTCACTCAATTTTGGATATAGAGTGTTTTTGAACCACTAACTCATAAACAGTAGGATTTTCTAGTATATCATCTCACATCCTACTTTTTAAATGGCTGAGGGCTTGAGGATGAAATCAATGACAAATCTTTTGGTAATGTTATTTTTATGTCCACATATGTACATTTTCAGGTAACTATGAAGTGCTGTTCAGCTCTTTTTTTTTTTTTCGCTTTTTATTTTTGTATGTCTTTTTTTCCCCTCCCTCTTTGACATACTATTACATTTTGTTGCCATTCCTTTATCTTATCCTTCCTATTTTTCCAGTGAGTGGAGAAGTGGTTCATTGGGTAAGACCAAGATTGAGAGCACTTATTCAGATCTCAAGCTCTATTTCAAGTATGACAAGGTTTGCCATTGTTTGGAATTCTGTATACCAGATTATCAATTATCTCTGTTTATAAATACAAAGATAATTATAGGGTTGTAAATTTTATATCTTTCCATTTATATGTTTCAAATAATCATCATGTACTTACTGTAGACAGTCATAGGTATTTCTTTGAAGGTGCTATCACGAACAAACTGGAAATAGATGCTTACAGTTAGTAACATGAAATATAGCAGTTCTATCAACAAAATCACCATTTCAATTCTTACTAAAGTATAAACAGTAAAACTACCATTATACTTAGTAGAAGTGAAGTCTTTATATAAATCATTTTTGATTTCCTGTTATTTGGGCAGATGGCATAAAAATTAGTAGATTTGTTATTTAGTCTTAAAAATTACAGAACTTGGCCCTCCCTGGTGGCGCAGCGGGTTAAAGCACTGCACTAAGAAGCCAAAGCCACTTCCTCATGAGTTCGATTCCCGCCTGCCCCATAGGTGACCACATGGCGTGGCAGACCTCTCCTGACCCGCCCGCTGCTCCCCTCAGCATACTTCATAGATCTGCCTGTTCTGCTCCCCACTCTGTCTCTGGTGAAGCCTCTCACCGCCCCTGAGCCTCTGGCCTGTACCCCAGTTCTGTATGTACAAATAAATAAATCTTTAAAAAAAAATTACAGAACTTTACCCCAAATTTTATATATATAGATATATTTATTAAATGATATATATTTTCTGATACTTCTACCCTACACAGTTGAAGTATCCATGCCTTTAAATACTACTATAATTAGTGGTATTTTTTGGTAAGCAAAAAACTTTTTTTCTATTATGTTAGCAGCAATGATATTTGATGAAAAGAATATAGTTTTATATGTGCATGTCTTATCTATTCAGCTCAATAGTAGACTTTTTTAAACAAAAGGCCATGTCTGACTCAACTTGATAATTCCCATAGAACTTGATATATTGGTTGGACTTATATAACTTTTTAATAGCTATTTGGTAAATAAAACCATAAAGAAATGTGTCATTTCATGATAGGTGGGTCAGTAGTACATGGTCATTAAGGAACAATCCAAGGTCAGTACACATTTACTTATTAATATTTACTTTTCTAGTCTCATGTTAAACTTACAATATTTTCCAACACATTAAGAATGAATTTAGTAAAATTCTGTACCTTAATTTGGATGTATTTGATCAGCTTATTAAGTATTTCCAGCAACTGATAATTTCCAACAGGTGTGTCTATGAAGAAGCACATTAAATACACACACACACACACACACACACATAGGTAAGAAAATATAAAATAAAAACCTAGTTTCTATAGAAACTTACTTCATCCACTAATTAGCTCACTAATTACCAACCTGCTGGGTAGAGGAGTTTATCAACAACATGAATAACACCATTTGTTGTCATGATGTCAGATTCTTTTGATTTCAATTCATTCACCAAAAGTGTGTCATTTACCTATTAAAACAGAGATAATGAGAAATTTAATAAAAAGTGAATATTAAAGTAAGTCAACGATGATGAAAATTATTATAAATTCATTTTAGAGAACTTACTCCTTTCAGGTAGATTTTGCTTCCTTGTGTGGTCTTTAGAATGTTGGTAACACCAGGTTCAAATCCCTTTCCAATGAAAACTCCTGGTGTCAGGTGATAAAGGATGATGTTTTGAAGTGCATTTTTGTCTCCTAGGGGAAAGATATACATATACATATATATATATATGTATATATATATATACACATATATATGCATATATATGTACATATATATTTAATATATATTTTATAAATATATATATATCTTTATCTAAAAATATATATTTACTTAATAACATGTCATTTTTTTGACATTTCAATACTCTGAGGACTAAGGAGAAAAACATTTCTGTGCTTTAGCTATTTTTCACGGTATAATTTCTCATTATGCTATTGTTCCCTCAATTTGATGTCAATGCTATATCAAAACTTTTAGTCATTTTAATCAGTTCAATCAAAATTTTACCAACTTAATGGAAGAGAAAAAATCTAATTATTCTGAAGTTGTGACTTTTTTCCTTCTTTGTCAACTAATTGTGACCTTTAATAGAAATAGCAATTGAACCTTTTGCCCAACCACATGATGGTAAGCAGTAATTAAGAATAATAAGTGACCCTCCATATATATCAAAGGGAACTGAGAAAACCTAGGCTAGCTAAGAAAATGAAAGAGGATGCAATTTTGAGGCTGAAATCAGAGTAAGAACTCAGAAGGAGGAATTGAGATTCTGAAATCTTGGGGTGAATAACTCCTACTCACGGATCAGAATTTCCTTTTCTTGGTTAGTCATTCCCTTAAAGGCATCATTGGTTGGCACAAATAATGTCCAATCTCCAGGATGTGTCAGGAGCTCTTTCAAGTCTGCAGCTTCAAGTAGGCTGAGGAAGATGCTAAACAGGAATGATATGTATTCATTTTATTAGATTTAGGTTTAGGTGTGCTCACCTACAATTCATGGAATAAACTAAAATCCTTGTACTACAGAATTCACAAGAAAATAGTTCCTGTACTTTCATTTAAGTACAGTTTACCCATTAACAAAGTTTTATCATGAGAAAATTTAAATATACAATATATTTTTTTTTAATTTCCCAAGCTCGTTTTATCCCATAAACACTTTAATAAAATAGCTGTGTTTGTGATCACTTAAAAAAAATAATTATAAAGAAATTTATAACCAGTTTAGTCTTCATTTTTTATTTTCACTGACTGAATTATATTATAGTATCCCAAGATGCAAAATAAATACTCTTAAAACATACTGGAGTTTAAAAACGTTTAACTTTCTAAATTTGAATTTTCTCCTCAGAAATACTGACTATAATGCCTTTGAGACTGCTAACTGTGAAACAAAAATATGCCAATAAATGTCATTAATTCTGTGGAGGTGAGACTACTAGTCTTACCTAAAGCGCTTATCCTGTTTTAATTTTTCATGGAGAGATTTCTCTGCTGGCTTGATGATCTCTCGGAATATGTGAATGGCACCATTTCTTCCTTGCTTGCTTCCTCTCACCATACATGAATTTTCAATGCAGACAGCCTAGGCAACAAGGAAAGAAACATATACAGCATTTGTTCTAACTTGACCTAACTTGAAATTTCTTATGTGGCAATAGCTATCCAAAGCACAAATTTCTAGATAGGCTCTTTTAGGAGATCAACAGAACCTTCCAAAACCAGAGGAAGCAGCTTCTTTCCTCTCTATTTTAAGGTCTTCAACAATGTGACCTCATACTTCTTTCTTAGCTAGATTTCCCACAACTAGTGCAGCTACTTTTGTCAGTAAATAATAATTCTATTGATTTCATTTCTGTGTCTTCTGTCATTCCTCCTTGGGTCTACATGTTCTTCCATACCCTCCTCACAAAATTAACATTTTAATTCCATGGGGCCTTCCTGATCTCACGACTCTTGTGATCTTCATATATATACTGTGTTTTCTTAACTATGTAATCCTATCAACCTTAAGTAAAATGATTACTTGAGTTACAGCATTTTTGAATGTGTGCATGTGTATGTGTGGGTGAATTAGAGTGCAGCACATTTTCTGCATCATTTTAAATGTGTGTCTTGGAATTCTGAAGCTAAAAGGAGCAGCTGCTGTGTGTCACATTCAGTACTAGCTAATGCTTTACATTTTTTGAAATTGTTCCATTGTATGCGATTACCAGAACAGAAACTAAACAGCATAACTAGGTACACTCTAATTCTTATAAACAATATTTTCTAAAAAATTTCCCTCAGATAAAAGTAATTTAGAATGATTTTGTAGAGTCAAAAATCTTTGCCTGTAAAAATTTATCTTGACAGTTATTCCAAGAAGATTCAGTTGCTGAATGGTGATCTTGTAGTAAGAAAATTATCCTACATTTTTGATTCAATATAAAAATTACCCTGTAAATCATAAATTGTTAATTTAAAGGAGATTTAGTGATTTCTAGAATTGAAATAATGAATGATTTACAGCATAGTTATTTAGAAATTGACACATAAATATCTAAATTATTATAACAATTTTTTTGTGTGTGTATACTGTCTTCCAGTCTTTTCTCACAAATGACTCAGTTTTCTGATGTACTTATGAATATTTACTAATAAAAGCACATAAACAAAGCTCTGGAAATATCTGTGCAATCGCATTTGTTGAGAAGCACATGTCATTTTACATGTAGAACTATATCTTGTTCTGATTCACTTACTGTGCGATACACAAAGACTCTGAGCTGTTTGCCTCCAATGGTCTCAAGTCTTTGTCCATTGTAAAGCTCATTAAGACTAACTTTTACTTTCAAGATGTGATTCTGTAGAATTAATTTTAGAAGGCGCTGGTCCATGCTCAGTGTGTCATCTATAAATAAAGAAAAGTTATTATTTTATTTAGAATGTATTAAAGTCTCTCTAGGAAAGAGAAATAATGAAAATGAAAAATCCTTAATATTGTTGATATGCATCCTATACTCATAATATTTGAGCATGCTTGATGCTCAAGTCTAGAAAGACTGCAACAATTAGAAACTCTATAACTTTTTGTATAAAATGACTATAAAATGATTCCAAGTATTCCAAACAATAGCTTACAGCTCTGTAAAGGATACATAGCTTTCTATGGTCTTAGCAAATGTCAAACTTTAAGCTGGCCAAGATTTTTTTCTGATGTTCATTAGTTACATGAAAGACTACTGGTGAATCATTTGTAAATCTATCTTTTAAACTGGAGAGAGAATCAAAACACACATGCTTTTAAAAGCAAATTAGTGTCAGCACTATGGGTATATTTATTACTGCAATAAGGGAAAATAGCAAGAGTCAGAATTTGATTTTTTCACTAATAACTTCCTTTTTTCATATGTTGAATATAATTTCATTGAGATTTACAGTTTACAATACTGTTTAAGATGCAGAAATATAGAATTACACCTGCACTATACCATACTCACCACCAAGAGCATACACACTTATTAATAATTTCTAAATACTGGAGTATTTGGGAAAATATTGAAAAGGGGATATTTATTTCTTTAATTGCTAATTTTTGTATGAAAATAAAAATGTCTTTATGAAATCATTTTTCTGGAAAAAGCAGTAGATTGTTTTACTCTAAATAAAACCCTTGGGTAGTAGTTACTAGGTAAAATACTTATAGCAGTTATCATCATAATATGGAAATGTAAATTGTCTCATTTTTATTATTTATATTTTGATGCTGTTTTCAAATTTTTACATTCAAAAAACATGTTTTTTCCTGAGTATTATAATGTCGATATTGAATAAATTATTTTTCTTAAGATCTACTAATATTTCGATGACTTACAATGGATATATGATTACATTCACAAAATAATTCAACACCCAATATCACAACTCTTTAATCTTATCTTTTAAAATGAAATATTTTGCAATGAAATTCATTTTAGTGGGATTACATAATGCTAGCATTTTGCAGAATTCTAAGTAATGCAGGAACAGCTTAACACTTTGTGAAATAACTGTTATTTTTTTCTGCAAACAATTATGGTGGGGATAAAAGTTGTATGAGAGGGAAGCAGGAGTGAGAGTATGAGAGTATCCAGTACATACCAGAAAATGCATTATTCATGGGTGCCAGCAAAGTATATTCTCCATCTGGCCTCAGAGCAGATGCCAAGCCTAATTGGGCCACAAGGTCTTTGAAAGTGGTTTGCTGATTTCCAGCCAGCTCAATAACTTGTTTGGCTGTAAAATAAACCAACACCATCCTAACAATGTCATCATTATTACTATTGTCATCATGAAATTGGTAAAACAAATCTTGACTATTTTCTAGAAGCTATTTGCAGCACTGGAAATGTGATAAGGTACCCATTTCCCTAGCACAAGAATCTTAGCTTCCTTTTTTGCAGGTTGATAAGGCCAAAGAATTTCAGAATGAAAATATTTTTCTTATTTGTAGATTTCTTTGATTCTCTATTAGCACCTCCTGATTTCTCTACTCACATGATTACTCTACCGTGTGCATTGCCAGAGTTGGCCATTTAGTTACATCATTTCTTCTGTTTTTTGGAAAACTAGCACTGTAAGAACCTTTATAAGTATGAGGTGTTAGAAACCCGGGAAAGTCAAAGAGCTATGTGGAATGGCCATGACTTCATAGGTGATCTATTAATACTCAGCTCACTGCTTATTTTATGTTTATATTTCACATTCCTTCTTTATACTGTGTATTTCTTTTCCATTGACTCATACTGGATGAGTCAGTTAGTAAGCAGTATTAAGCAGAAGAATATGAAACTGTTTGTGGCTCACCAGAATCAGGAACTAGGACCTGATCAATCAGGTGGATGACACCATTATTGGTCACAATGTCTTTTTTGTTCACCATTTTTATTCCATTGACTGTTATGCTGTCCCCATCACATCCTATCTCAATTGTGCTTCCTTCCAAGGTTTCAAAGACTGCTCCTCCCATGATAGCCTCAGAACACTGAAGAGTATTTAAAATGTGGTACTTCATGAGTGCTGAAATACAAAATAAACAGAGCAAAATTTCAGGTCAAGTGGTGTTTGACCCTTTAAAAGACATACATTACATTGGAAATAAGTGTTCCTATATGTGAAATATCTTAGGATTATGGAACATTTTAAAATGCTGTTTACATTAGGTACCTTTCTCCCCCCATTAACTATGCAATAAGAATAGCTTAGCTTGGTAGCAAATAAAAAGAGATCAGCTACATGAAATATTTTTTGTAGTTCACGAAAATGTGTTCAGTCAGACTTAGATCACTGGCATAAGAAAGTAATTTCTGATGTGAAATAAAGAAGAATCGATCTTTTCAGAAAGCCTGTAGTTAATTTGCTAGTGATAATGGTTCCAAAATATGCCAGCAGTGTCTTTAATGGAGGCAAAGGGTGAAACAAATAATTGCCCAAAGGCAACATGTTGAAAGTAGCTGAAATAAAGATAGTTTCTTGAATGCTATATAAAGGTATCAGTGCTTTAACTATACCCTCAAAATTTCTCCAACTAATTGGCTGAGTGTGTTTTAGGATAGGCTGAATAAGTGAAATGTACTTGTTAATGTTCTAAAAATCTATTAAAAATATAAAGAGAAACTGGGAAGGGATAATAAAAATTATATATGTGTGTGTGTGTGTATATATATATATATATATATATATACACACACACATATAAATGTGAGGGTTGAAGATAATCGTGTTATTTTCTCAAATCCCATTATTCATTTTAGTTTAAAATTAGAATGAAGAATATTGCATAATGTGTATATTAAATTTTCATTTAATTTTTTTGAACATATGCTAACCCTTTTTTTTTTTTTTTTAAAGATTTATTTATTTGTGCATACAGAACTGGGGTACAGGCCAGAGGCTCAGGGGCGGTGAGAGGCTTCACCAGAGACAGAGTGGGGAGCAGAACAGGCAGATTGACGAAGTACACTGCTGAGGGGAGCAGTGGGCGGGTCAGGAGAGGTCTGCCACACCATGTGGTCACCTCCAGGGCAGGCGGGAATTGAACTCATGCAGAAGCGGCTTTAGATTCTCAGTGCAGTGCTTTAACCCGCTGCACCACCAGGGAGGGCCCATGCTAACCCTTTTTAATGTCTGCTACTTATTCATCTGTAAATGGTACAAAAATACGGTATTTAAAAATTTTTGGCTTACTAATATTAGTGATTGAATGAATTTCTCTGTGTAATGTTCAATGACTTTTTAAAATATTTTTATAATCCACCTCAGAGTAGGAGTTTGTCTTTATTTATCAAGGGTGATAATATTAGATAATTTATTTCCTTTTCTTGACATTTTGGAGATTTCTCACAGAGGAAGATATTGTAGTACCTTCAGAAGCCACTTTATCTCCCATAATCCTTTCTAGGACACCTCTTGGAAGTTTTTCAAAAGCCTCATTGGTAGGAGCAAAGAGTGTGAAGTGACCATCTCTTCCAAGGTTCTCCAGTATGTCTGATGTGAAAGCAGCTGTCTGAAAAACAAATGTGCTCTTTAAAGGCATGCACATTGCAAATCCAAAAGAATATTATGGCATTCTTAGCCTAGGCTGACATGAGGGAGCAGATTGAATGGAAAACTGTGGAAATTTGCTTTTGTTAGATCTTTAAAACATTACACTTTGGCATGGCTAACTATGTCTTTTCCAAGTTGCCTCAAACTATGTTTGTAATAATGGGAATTCTGCCAATGTTCATGTGACTGTAGCAATAGCCAGTAGTACATGTAATAACTTAGACAGACAGATTCTAAATATACTATATACACTAGAGTCACATAACTATGTTTCATTTATCATTTCCACATAAGTAGTATTTCACCTGAGGAGATGGTTTTTTTAATGTAAAATACAAATATTTTCATTTCAAAAATTATATTTGTTACATTTCTGCAAGGTTTGTTTAATAGAATTTTTATTGTTTTTAGGTTCTGACAGGGAAAGAAAGAATCTCAAAGACAATCTGCTGTTACTACTTGAACATACCCTGAAAGATGAGAGGTCATCTTCTGCTTCAATGTAGTCTTGAATCGAGGTGCCAATTTGTGTAAGGACACGGTCAATAACATGCACAACACCATTTGTTGCAATCTGATTCCCATGGATGATTCGAGCACAGTTAACAGTGACAACCTATAATTATTTGGGAAAATCAAAGTGAAGAATTCAGAGCTATTCTTTGACTGCTGAGGTTACCAACCCATACCCTATTTATCATTTATAATGAATATCTTTTATGTAATCATTTATAATGCAACATGAAGGAGCCAACAATCTGAATGTACTGTTGAAAATCAAAACAATATCATTAAGTCTTAAAAAGGAACTAGGAGAAAATGGAACCAGTTGTGAATCTGTGTACAGTAACACCATATATAGAAACATAAAGCAAGATGTTTTCCATTCAAATAATTGCTTTGGCTCCTTTCTTTTATAGAGGGAGTCTTAAATGATTCTAGTATAATACAACAAATCAGGATCTAGGACCTGATCAATCAATAAAGAAGCCAAATTGGTCCAAAATAAGTTCTGAGACAGAGAAACAAAAACTTATTACAAAAACTTATTGCATGAATATAATGGTGCAGTTCTAGCAACTTCCTAAATGTTGCTTCATTAGTGACCCTTTGTGTCCCAGAAGATTTAACTGTTGCCAGTCCCCTCTGAACCCATTGGAGGGTTCTCACAGTGACTCATACAAACACACAAGAACCCAAAATAGTATAGTAAACAAAAGGTGATTAAATAAATACTTGCCCTCTGATTATGCTTTGATAAATTCTCCACTAAATTTTAAATTATTTTTCTGAATTTTTTTCAATCATGTCAACTACTAAGATTTCTTTTTGTAGAAGATCAACTGTTGATTCTCAATTGTTACTTTAATTTCTTCCTCACAATCATTCTTATAGAATCAGTCACTGAATTAGAAATCCACATGTCTTAAATATGGGAGTAAATCATGTATGGTACTATTACCATTGATATTTTATTATTTCTATGAAAATTGTACAAACTATGTAGACATAATTAAGGGTAATAATATTTCAAAATATAAATTTTTTATGGATGAAACTTACCCCATTAGGATAGTGGTTAATGAAAAGTCCCAGATTATTATACATTGAAGGAACAATCATGCCATTTTTTAAGTCCTTGGTTAACATTCTCTTATTAACCATGTGGCTGTGTAAAGCATTCAATAACTCAACATTCACATTGTTCTCCAAACCTCTACGTATATCCTTGAAAAAATAGAAATGATAGATGTTTATTTTATTGTGGTTATTTCAGTTCTTATTACAATTCTTATAATATTTTTTATACTCATAACTTTCCCATTGGATTAACTGGATGATCAAACCAAATTGACACAAATAATATTGCAATTTATTAAAATTTCTCTAAGTTTAGGTACTTCATTCAGAGTACTGGATCTTATAGAATGCTTGGGCATTTTTAGAAACAAAACAAAATTAATAAATGAATATACTGATGAAGAGTAATCTTTATGTAAATGAAATATTTAGGGGCACCTAATGTTTTTTATATTAGATTAGAGTGAAAACAAAATTAAAATGGCATATTTTGATATAATATTTTGGGTTTAATGTTTAATGATAATTTTATGTTTATTCCATAACAATTTAAAGAATTCAACCAGTTTGGTTACCATATACTGTTATGTGTTAACATAAGGAATTTAGAAAGTTATGTGGGACAGTAAAATGGGAAATTTTGTTGGAGTAAAACATAAAAAGAAACTTGTAATGGAGAGACACTGAAAATTTTGTGGCATTGGAATATAATGATAAGGTGAGGCTTTAGGAAGGTTAAGTTGGTAATAATCATAGTAGTAATCAGAATTAGGTGGGTGAAACATGAGACGTGGGTGACTAATAGTAATTTGAAGGAAGTGGAGGGGGAATGTGGTCAGGATAACTCAAAGTTTTCAGTTTTCATAGCTACAGTTGGTATTGCCAATTATGGGGTAGGGGGAGCAGAAAAGCAGTTATTTGTGGAGAGAAAGAAAATGTTTTATATAACTTTTTTTTTCTTTAAAGATGCAAATGGTGTGCCCAAGGAGAATAAGTACAAGAAACAAATCTCTGTTTATATGCACTAAGGTGATAGCTGAAATCATTAGAAGTATAGATAAATGACATAGTCTAGTTCCATAAGACTCTTTAATGAACACATTCTTAAGGCAAAGATGTGGAGTTAGTATAACAAACCAGGAAGATGGTTAGAGATGTGGTCAGTAATAACTAGAAGAAAGAGTTCTAGCAAGTAAGCAAGTGACCACACAGCTAATGTAACAAGATAATATCTAAAGGAATCTTCTTAAGTTTTACTAAAATAATTTAAATCTAATGATAGTTACAGGCCATCTTCGTATCAACTAAAAAGGAAGAGTACTTCTTTCTTTAATTTGAAAATTTGTTTTAATAATTTTTATCTCATTGTTAAAATTTTCTTTCAGGTAGCACTGACTCACAACACTATATTTATAGAAGTCTAAGACAGGCATTTCAAGTATATGTTACTACATCCACTACCCAGACATTCTTAGTGCTCCACCATAGTCCATTGATCCTCCACCCTATATTGTTTTTCTCTTCCTCTGGTAATCTCAATTCTGGTTAGAGTTCTAGAGTTTGTTATTTGCTTGGGCTTTATCTGACCCTTCATTTTATTTCTCTATTTTCCACGCATAGATAAAACCTTAGGTATTTGTCTTCTCCCTTCTAACTTATTTCATTTAGCATAATCCCCTCCAGTTAATAGTGTTCTGCTGGGTATAAACTTTCTGTATCAGTTTTATGTGTTTGGAGATTGAGTCATAATCCATTCATTAGAAATATTATTATACACAAAAGTTTGAAAATCAAATGTATTGTTAGAACCCTTCATTTAAATATCCACACGTCTGTACCTGAATAGCTATATATGCTTAAATATAATTAGAATTATTATGTACACCTGTATAATATACTCTATAATAAATTGTAAATTCTAATAGTCTTAAGTTTGTATTAGACTTGCAATCTGAAATTCAATGTATTTTTCCAAAGTAAAAAAGAAAGAGGAAAGGAGTAAAATAGAATAATGGTGCCTGTTTACTCCACTCTTGGCTTGTGTTTTCTGTTAATCTAGGAACTGCTGGAGAGTTATTCCATTTATGGCTGTATTAAAATGTTTTACTACTTATATTCAGCCACTCATCCTTTTTTGTGTACTCATAACAGGTGATAGAAAAATATAAGATTTCTATTAATTTCCAGGTTAATAAATCAATTCAAATGAAATAACAGTAACAACAGAAATATTATATTTATAAAAATAATGAATTACAGAATCCAAGTTGTCCCAAGCCTCATTACTCGGTGCGAAATAGGTGAATGATCCTTTTCCTTCAATCTCATCCCTCAGTTTGGAGACATCAGAATAGTGCTGTGTTGTGGTCGCTCCCACAATGCCCAGTGTGCCATAAACATGGTCAATAGGCATGACTGAAAGAATCAAGAGATGAGTAAATACTTAGGCTCATACTTCAAGAATATTATTTCCCTGTCATTAATACTTTCCATTAGGTTTCCCAACACATTTAATTGATAATTTCAGCAATAAAATTCTGTAAATCAGAAAATGTGAAAATTGCCTCTGAGTGCTAAATAATGAGGTTCTGCTGAAAACTTACTTCATATACCCACTGTGTTAAGGGAAAATCATGTTTAAGCTGGAAAAAAATCCTAGCTAAAAGCCTGACTTGATAGTATTCATGTAAAAAAGATATAATCCGTTTTAATTGAATGCAAATTCTATATGAGCTAATGGTATGACATGGTAACAATGACATTAATCAAAGTTCAGGAACCCCCCAAATTGAGGTATTTGTCTTGATATTCTCTTAACTGCTCAGATCCATATGGATTGTGGACACTAGTCTGGGAGTAAATTCAGACAAAAGATGACTGGAGTACATGATTTTTGAAAGTTTCTGTCCATTATAGACTCCAATATGTATATCACATTAGAATAACTGGGGGTGATGAGTCTGGAGAGGAGAATATTTTGTTAGAGAAGATAAGGTGACTGGAGGAAGGGTGTGTCGACTGGTGTGAAATATCCATGAGTGTCTTTCAAAGAGGAAGAAGGTGAACTATTTTTTTCTTTAAAAACATAATGAACTAACCTTCAATATGAAGAAAGTTATAATCAACTATTTGATTAGCTAGGATTAGTTTTGCTAACTCGTCAATTTTATCTTTCTAGAAAAGTTCAGAGAAAATGATTTGTTATAGGATTTTTTTTTCTTGGAATTTGAACTAGCTTAAACTTATGACTAAGCTATTGTTATTGTCTAGCATCTATTGCACAACCATGTTTTAAAGTTTTATCATGAATAACATCAAATGACATATTATGGATTTATCATGGGGCTGAAATACATACACATACAAACACAAGGACTTCTCTACAAATTTAGCTTTTTTCTTATACAAGAAGAACTCATGTTTTAATTTAGTAATTGAAATTTTACCTGCTGGACAGCCTTTCATTCCTTCCATTCTCATATATCCAGGGCAACATTCATATAACACAGTCCTACACAGTGGAAGAAAATTATTTAATGGAGAACTATACTGAAAACATTTTGACACACACTTAAAAAAATCATGTATTACAATGTTTTATTTAGACTATAGAATAAACATTTTTACTGACACAGAAGTTTTTATATTATTTTGAACTTCTCTATAGCCTCATGGCAAGTTTCCATCTCTTGAACCAAAAGAATGGAGTGTGATTTCCATTTTTACTATTAGGTAGATATGTGACCTTGAGCAAGTCATTTGATAACTTGAGTCTAAGTTTCCCAGCTACTAAAAATGGTTATAGTGGCTACAATACCTAACTGTGAAATGAGGAAATATAGACCATTTTGTAATTTTAATTGAGAAATTCATGTCATAAAGTTAATTACTTATAAACTAACATGCAATTTAATAATTAAACATATAGGCCTTAATTCAGGCAATATTTTCTTTCTTGTTATAAAGTTGTGTTATTTTTGCTCAGGATATGGGAATGAATTAAATATTTTGAATGTATTTAAGAGAAATATTGTCAAATATAATAATAACACACATTCTCAGTAAAATAAAAATTATGGTGAGAACAAATTTTTTAAAAGTCAAATTTTACTTTTGTGAGAAATATTCTATGTCATTTAAAAAGATAAATAAGCTGTTGGATTTCAGCTAGGTCTACTAGTTGGTTATCCATGTTTTTAATATTTGATTCTTCCTTAGCTCTGTTCTAATTGTAAATTTTAAAAGCACAATGTAACACCTTTGAATATAGTATAGAATATAGTAGAAAAAGTGGACGAGAAAAATGATTGACATGAGATATTTCCTTAATGATGGCCAACAGATGAGAACATGGATAAAATGTAAAATGTTAATTTCAAATTGTTCTCTAATACAAAATAGAGATAAAAAATAGTGGCATTGAAAACATACAAAGTATAGGAGAACTTTATGCACATTCTTTTTTGACATCAAAACAATTCAATTTACAGATTCCCATATAAATAAATTTGAATATTTGAATACCAGAGATTATAAATTGCTTAGACATTAACTTTAGCATATATTGCAAATAATACAGAACTGAAATACTTTTTTAATGTAACAATACTAATAATACTAATGTAGTAAAATGATAATGGTTAAACAGTGACACAAGGTGAAACTATTAATGTAACAAAAATTACCATAATACTTGCTGATAAAACCCAAGAGCCAACCTTAATGTAGAAAATGAATATACTACATGGGATAAAAATTCCAAAATAATCTATTGAAATTTTGGCAGCCAGTTGAACAAAATAGTTATCTCAACAGTTATTTTTTTAATAGTTTTCTCAGAAGAACATTTATGCTGCAGAAAACTCAAAGTTCTACGCAATCAGTAGGACCTAAAAAGGGTGACGAAGCCAGTACTATGAGTATTAGAAATGTATCCTTATACATATAATATATGTTGGAAATATTAACTGAAAATGTTGTTGGCATTTTTAAAAAAAGATTTATTTATGCATACAATAACTGGGGTACAGGCCAGAAGTACAGGGGATGAGAAGATTCATGAGAGACAGAGTAGGGAACAAAACAGGCAAATTGAATAAAATACACTGCTGAGGGAAGCAGAGGGCAGGACAGGAGAAGTCTGCCACACCATATGGGTCACCTCCCTGGCTGGGGATTGAACTTATGGTGCAGTGGCAGCCTGTAGCTTCATAGTTCTGTGCTTTAACCCCTTGTGCCACTGGGGAGGGCTCCTTACTGACACTTTTAAAAATTCTGCAAGTGGCCCTCCCAGGTGGCGCAGCGGGTTAAAGCACTGCACTGAGAAACAAAAGCCACTTCCGCATGAGTTCGAACCCTGCCTGTCCTGGAGGTGACCACATGGCGAGGCAGACCTCTCCTGACCCGCCCGCTGCTCCCCTCAGCAGTGTACTTCGTCGATCTGCCTGTTCTGCTTCCCCTCTGTCTCTGGTGAATCCTCTCACCCTCCGCATCTCTGGCCTGTACCCCAGTTCTGTACGAATACATAAATAAATCTTTAAAAAAAAAATTCTGCAAGTATAAATTGTGGAAAATATCTCAAACATAAAACATCTATGCAAAACATATTTTTCATTAGACCTAGCCCATTATTTCCACTAACTCCCTAAGGGAACTATTTTAACTAGAAGACAAGAAATTCTGTCAACTGATAATATTAAGTCCACGAGATATCTTTGGGAAGTTTAACAGCTGCATGTAGGTGGCAAGCCAGGCATTCTTCCTGTCAGTGTTATTGATTTCTTTGGGTATTTGAAATTTGTAACTTGCATTTACATTTATTGAAGAATATAGGGGTAAATGTGTTAATGAAAATAAAGCTACTTTTGGGAAAATAAGTTAAATATAATTTAACAAAGAAAACACTATAATATTTCTGGTAAAAACCTGGTTTCAAAGCAGGATTCTGTTTTTTAATGGAAGCAAGAAAGAATCTTGGCATATACTATGTACACATATATCTCTAATATATTTGGAAAGTTGAGGTAAAATTATGTCACATTTTGCTAATCTCCAATAAAGATATGATAATTATTTCTATTAAATATGTCAGAGAGTAGGTCCTTTCTTAAGTAGCTTATGGGCATTTCCAAAACGGCCCCTGGTAACCAAGATTATAAAGAACAAAAGAAGGAAAACCCAGTTTCCAACTGGTGCCTATCTATTAAAGTGACCAAGATCACTGTCACCACTGACTTGGTTGTAATTGTATGAATAACCCACAAGTCTAGCAGTTGTCTTCAAACTAATAGGAACAATGTTCAGGTCAAATAGTAACATCAATTGAAATTCCATTAAGTCAATGAGAAGGGATAGGAAGCAAAGTTCTTTGGTGTCTTTGTCGTGGCTGCTATAGAGAAGAAAGGTCCAGCTCAGTTTATGTGTCTTGAATACATGATTCTTATTTGGAATAAGAAAATTCTGTGAATTTAAAATATACATGTGGCCACAGCTCCATTTCCCACTATCTATATATACCCATTTGTTTAAGTAATTTAAATTTAAGGGTAATTGATATTATTAGAGTTACTTAGCAAGTTCACATATCTTAATTCATTTTTCGTTCAGCAATAGGAATGTATTATATCCATATCTCACAGGTGAAGAAAACTTTATAAGGTGTTGCCATATTTAGTATTTGTATTAATATTATTATTAGCAAAAAGTTGATAATAGTCCCCCCAGTCCTTCCATCTATGTATGTAATTGGACCTTAATGATGATTGTTACGTATTGTTTACTCTAGTTGACAAGGCATCCTTCATTGAGGGTGGGGTCTAAGTGAGTAGGAAGCTTTTCCCATTGTTTTTTTGGACTGGCCTTGCACCTCTTAGCTTTTTTGGCTTATTCTATTCTATGTGTGACTTGCACCTTTCTTTGAAAATAAAGAAATAGGATCACATGAATAATTCTTAACTTTTTTTTTTTAATTTTAAAGATTTATTTATTTGTGCGTACAGAACTGGGGTGCAGGCCAGAGGCTCAGGGGCTTCACCAGAGACAGAGTGGGGAGCAGAACAGGAAGATTGACGAAGTACACTGCTGGGGGTGCAGCAGGCGGGCCAGGAGAAGTCTGCCACGCCATGTGGTCACCTCCGGGGCAGGCGGGAATCGAACTCATGCGAAAGCGGCTTTAGATTCTCAGTACTGTGCTTTAACCTGCTGCGCCACCAGGGAGGGCCCAATAATTCTTAACTTTTAAATGCCCAGAATTATACTTTTTCTACCAATATTCTTGATGAAAAAATTCAATAAGCACATCTACTAAGTAATAAAATATTCTTCCCATTGTTAACATCATAGGTAAAATTATAACTAATGTAAAGAAAGTAATATTTTTTGGCTATTATGAAAGTAAATATAGTGTGTTGAGCTTCCAGGACAGTCTTTGTAGATCCATGGGGATCTGGTCATTTAGAATGAAATGACAGAATTAAATGGAGGGATGAAATGCCCTTTCCGTGAAATACAGAGGTGAACTGGAGCACTTTCAATAATTTCCAAATAATTGTAGGCAAACATTTCATATTTGCTCTCCATGTCTTAACATTTTACTTCAACTTACTCTTCTGGACCATTTTTTAAAATTAAATGAGAAAAGTGATGCAACAAGTTAATTAATTTGCCTCAGACCAAAGACAACCAACCCAGGAGTGAAATGACAGAATCAGCCATTAGCTCACATTCCTTCTATGCCAAATCCCATTGTTTTGTGATTTGCCTCATTTGGGTCTTCAAGACACATAGATTTGCCGATAATGAGAGTTCCACTAGTGTAGAGAGAGATATAGGGAGACATTCTATATTATGCATGTGATACATTTTTTTTCAAAGTTCAGAATTTGGGAGCATGTTTTCAAGAATGGTTCATATGCCCAAGAGAAGGCATAGATACCATGATATAGTCTTTGGAATTGACTTATTAACAAAAAGATTATACTTACGTTTTCTTTCCACAGATGGCACCTTGATACCAGTTCCTGCAAGTGCTGAAGTATTTCTTTTTGGTGCCCAAAATCTGCTGAAGGGCACAGACATTTGGGCTGTAAGACAGATGGAGTGAAAGAGTTAATATCTTAATGATGATTGGTGTTCCATCTTTACAGGTCAGTGGTTAAAATAAAAGTTAGCATGTAGATTTGATTTTCAAAGATGTAATTCTAGTCTTGCACAAATACGATTCTTGACCCAATTCTACTGAATCATTGGAAAAACTAGTTTATGGCAAGATAAAGACAGGGAAAGGAAGTAACACATTCTCAGTGTAAAAAGCCTGTGTTTCTTCTCAGTCTGTCTAAAAAAATATTCAGGCAGCATTAAGTTTAACTTTATTTTCATGAATCTTATTATTTTTTAAATTAAATAACCTACTGACCTTTCTTTAAAACCAAACATGGTCATTTTGGGTGTTGGGGCAACTTTATTGCTCTCTGGAACAATGGGTAAGTAAAAAGCCAAAATTTTACTGTCCAAAGATACAGTGCTTTGTAATTATCTAGATAATCACAGAAGTATTAGGAATAATTTAAAAGATGTGGCTGCACAAAGGAAAATTATTTCTTTGAATGGAAATAATAAATCAGAGCATCTGCCAGAACTTTAAATGTTTTTTCACTTTTTTAGAGATGAAAGTATTATTTGCACTGTGAGCAAAGAAGGCTTTGAGCTTTATGAAAATGCCCCTGAGACACAGGAAGAAGTGCCAAGATTCACTTAGAAAGAATTATAAATGGTTGGGTAAGTTACTAAATTATGTTTGATAACTTTTAAAATGGTAAATGTAGTTGATTTATTTGATTAACTATTAATTGATTTTATAATTTTACAGAGTGCTAAATTTAAAAAGCAAGTAATTCAGAAAATGAGTTACATTACCCATTTTTTGGTTATTATATGTAACTTAAATGAATTCATTTTCTAACTTCTTAGATATTTCAAAGTTGTTTAATGAGAGTCTAACCATGGATTCTTCAATTTTGAAAACCTCTTTCCACATTTTGGGAAGGAAACAAAAGACAAGCTAAGCCATAAAACAATGCCTGCTAAATACTGTTAATTATATTAAAGATTTATATAACGTCTCTTAAAAGCAATTATATACGAGTTATTTGCCATCATTCTTAAGGTTTAAAATGCACACATAAAATGCAGAATACTCATTTTGCCCTTTTTCTGATTAATTTCTTACAAGTAGAAAAAATCCTGAGCTATATAAAGAACTTTATATACTTATAACAAACTAAGAGAACTAAGGGTGAAAAAAAGGTTTAGAAATCCAAACCACTGACTTACCCCTGGTCTCGGCCTCTGATACGGCTATGAGCCAAGATCTTGTCGTAATGACCATTGGCATTTGCAGGGTTAACAACCACAAGCAATACTAGAGAAAATACTGGTAAGAAAGGAATCATCTTGCTCTCTCCCTTGCAGTTAGTCACGAAGAGATCTGGCAGTGGGCTTTGGAGAGCTCAGAGTTTATATACATGTCAGAGTTGTGGGAGGGAGTGCTACATCAACTTGGGAAACTGAACTCTTTCCAGAAAACATCAGTAACTTTAAGTTGCCAGCTAAGATCTGCTTTTGTTGGTTATGTTTACTGAACAATTTGAGCTGCTTTGTCTTCTTGGAAGATGTTTACTTTGATGTTATTTCTATTTTTGATTTTTAATAGGTGCCTCATTACATGTTCATAGTTCAATTTTATTCTTTTGTAATTTCAAAGTTTTATGAAAATGATTTGCTTTGGGTTTTAGATAATAGTCTGCAATCTCTTTTCAGAATATATGTTGCTCTTCAGTGACATCCTTATTTGATGTTATCACACCTTGTCACAATTCAATTCATATCAGAACTAAAAGTTACTCTTTTTAATCGGGAAACAGAGGTAGATGTAAGTTTGATAACTACAAGGATGTGTTTTTTTTTATTATTAAAACATGTTCAATAGATTTAAAATTGGCGCAAAATATGTAAGACTTCAAACTTGCTGGCAAAACTTGCAGGAGAGATCAGATTTTCCTTAAACTGGGAGAGACACCTCTCATTTTACCCTTTTAAACTTCAAGGACTAGCGAGAGTTAACATAAATCTATTTCTGGCAAGATTCCCCAGCATTTGAAATGAAGCAGGGAAGGAAAATATTTGTATTTTATTACTTTCTCATTACATACTTCACATAATGTTGAACATCTCCAGTCAGCACATCTACTGATAACCACTGGACAAAAGCAGCCCCTACTGGAAACAAGTATTACTAATCTCACTGTAATAGAATAACTAAAGGCATATTAAGAAACAGAAATTACCGGGATTCTTCTCTGGGTGATTTTACCAAGAATGACTGAAGTCTTCATGTAATACTATTACTAGCCAAGTAAGTATTCATTTTTACCACTCCACATGGGTGTTAAATGTTCAGAACTTTGGATAAAAGAAATCTGAATGTTAGAAGTCAAGAATAAACAGAAATAATAACTTCCAAGAGTCTCCTTGAATGCACATATTACACATTGTATAATGTCAAAGAACAATCCCAACACATCCTGATGTAGGTGTCTCGGTGTTTCTTCACTGAGAGGGTAGCGTCATTTCAGCTATACAGTTGAAAGATCTTTTAGGAGGAGGCTGGATTGGGCAAGAGAAGAGTCCAAGTGTCAGGAGAATTATATTAAGCTTATGATCAGATATTACCTTGGCACCCTAAAATAATTCTACAACTTCTTGCTTATTTCTTAAGAAAGCATACAGTGAAATGATATATTCAGAAATATGTTTCAGAAGGCTCTTTTCAACTTGAAAATGTTGGTATTAAAGCATAGAAAATGTAAGAGCAATAAGAAAGGATAACTGGAGATAAGATAGCATAAAAAGTAATTCTTTTTCTGATTTCTTATCAAATGAAAAGAAGAATGAATCTATTATTTATATTCTCTGGATGAAATTATTCTAACCTCACCTATATCTCTGATTTGCTTTACGTAATAGGTTTCTATTACTCTTATGTTGTACAAATAGCAATGGGTCAGTAATTGCTTATTGAGTAGAGTGAAAAAACTTATGAAAATAAATTATATTTAATATCAATAAATTAGTTGTTAGAATACTATTGATCAATGACATAATTACATAGACTATTCAGTTCTAGACTGGTCAGACATTATAATATGTGATAGATTACTTATTTTCAAATCATAATAATATGATTTTGGATTATAGAAAAATATCTGTACTTTATTACTTTTCAATAAAATTTAAAATACAGATTTTTCTCTTGGATCACTACTCATTACTGGGATTGCTTACTACTCAATGTAGCCTTTTCACCTTGGACAACTGTAATTGCTTATATGCTTTTCTATAATAAAACCGAGATCTGCTCAAATCCAATGGTATGATGGCATTTCATTAGAAAGGAAGGAATGAGGTATATAGTAAAAAAGAGATTTGATTAATATATATCCAGAATAAAAGAGTTTTTAAAAAATTTTTTTAAGATTTATTTATTTATTCATATGTAACTGGGGTACAGGCCAGAGATGTGGAGGGTGAGAGGATTCACCAGAGACAAATAAGAGAGTAGAACAGGCAGATCGACGAAGTACACTGCTAAGGGGAGCAGTGGGCGGGTCAGGAGAAATCTGCCACGCCATGTGGTCACCTCTGAGACAGGTGGGAATCGAACTCATGCGGAAGTGGCTTTAGCTTAGTGCTGTGCTTTAACCTGCTGCACCACCACGGAGGGCCATAAAAGAGTTTTTTAAATAGAGTCCAGAATAACAATTTGATAATGATATAGGTGCAGAGACAGAATCAATCATCACTTGCTTTCTTAAGAGTGTCTGAATAAGTTGAAAATACATTAATCATTTGCAAGAACAATTTTGACCTACTTGTTTGTGACCCTAGCTTTTTCCATTGGGCTTAATGGATTCCATTCATCCTGATTCCTTCAGTGTTCTAAATGGGCAAATAATCACCTGAGATGAATAGGGAAAATAGAAATGCACTAATATTTCAAAAATGGACTACCTTCTGACTGGAACTAATGATTTACTTTTTATAAAAAAGCGTGATGTATAGAAACTATAAAAAGTTTCAGAGTTTCAAATAATAATCTTAGTATTCTATTTTGAACTTTTCTAAGTCCCACACAAATTAACAAATGCTAGGCCTTAACTGATATTTACACTTGGGATAAGCAATGCCATCAAGGAAAATTATGAAAATGAGGGTCAAATTGTACACATAAACTACATGTAAATTTGGAGGTTGGAGAATATTCCATGAGAAGGAAACTTTTGGGAAAATATAAAAACATTTATAGCGCTGCAACTTGAAAAGCCAAACCTAGCCCCAAAGCTATGATATTATCTGATAATATATAGTGGGAGAAATTCTAAGCAACTGTGGTAGTGAGAATCCTGGCTTTAGGGAGGCTAATCATTAAACGCTGATCCATAGCTGGCAGTTTGGAATAGGATGAAGGAAAAAGGCTGTGCCAGAGAATGGAAGAAAAGATTTAAGCTATAGAAAAGAGATTGAAAAATCTTGGGAAGGACACAATTTCTTCTTTCAGAGAGGTATTCAAATTTCCCCCTCTTGTGTATGTATACACTCTCTCTCTCTCTCTCTCTCTCTCTCTCTCTGTCTGTTTCTTTCTCAACACTGTACCCTTATTCTTCTGCTCATGGGACAAACCTGCCTCGGGGTTTGCTGCATAATTTTCTTAACAGTTTGGAGGCAGATTGTAATGTTGGTAATTAAATCTTACATTCAGGGTTATAAGGTCTGACCCAGAAATCTAAGTCATTAATGAAAAAAAATGGTTTATTATGCAAAGAAAAAATGTCTGAAAGACTGAGACATTTGTTTCCAACTATCAGGATGCTAATTTACTGGTAGCCTGAGAATTATCTGGTAGGTTTTAGAAGCAAAGCTTATGACCTTGGGAACTGTAAAGTCACTGTAATATAAAAGCCTGCTGTCACCAATCTTAAAACAGACCCTCACCCTTGAGGATACAAACCTGTCTACTCACACTGAAAGCAGATTTTAAAAAACAGAATGGTTTCGAATGGCCTCTAGGAATTTGTCCCAAGTTACTTCAAACCATATGCTTTTAAATATATGGTCTATAGGTGCTTACCATTACTTGAGTATCACTTTGCCTTCTTACTGGCCTATTTGCAAGCCTCGGCTAATAGATCTTGTAAAACATCATAAGGTCCTGAAGTGAACGCCACACATTCTTGGGGGCAGCACTGCTCAGGTCTGAGCATCTTGGGAAGAGATGTTTTCAATCTTTCTCAGTACCTGGGTTTGTGGCCTTGTAAAATGAAGTTCTGGAAAAGATGCAGTGATCTTCATTTCCTTTCAATGTGGGAAGTTTTTTTCTTCATACTATTAGATTATGCTTAACTCTGTCAATAGAAGAAATTCAAATTAAGCAGAAATTAAATATTGTGATATTTTTTCCTCTTTAAAATATTCATGTAAATAAAATTTGCTAAATGGCCAACTTAAAGAGGTCACAGAGACTTAAATTTCCAATGGGTTTGTTTTATCTACTTCCATAGATTGTTTGGGTATGTTTTGGCATAACTTATCTAAGATAGTGAAATCATATTCAGAGAAAGAGATGACAGGCCCTCCCTGGTGGCACAACTGGTTGAAGCACACACTGTGAAACTGTCTGTAATCACTGTAGCACAAGTTCAATCGCCAGCCAGGGAGTTGTCCCACTTGGTGCGCAGACCTCTCTTGTCTCATTCGCTGCTCCCTTCAGCAGTGTATTTCTGTTAGTCTATCGGTTCTAGAAGCTCCCCATTCTGTCTCTGGTGAACCTTTCACCTCCTGCATCTCTAGCCTGTACCCCAGTTCTTGTATGCATCAATAAACAAATCTTTTAAGAGATGACAACTAATTTCAGCCCAGAGTAAACAAAAATGGGTGTCTCTTCAATGTCACTTCATTTAGAAGCAGGCTGTCTATGATAAATGTGGATGTCATTTTTCTCCATAAAATGGAGAAAATTTAGATTTTCATCGCCTATACAAACCTATCAAGTGACAAATTTTACTCTCATCCTAAGTAGTCAGTGGATATAGTTGTTCCTAGTTGAAATAGAACCTTTGAAATCTGTAAAACTGGGTGCTTATTAGAAGCAATTCTTATTAGCAATATTTACTTGTATTTCTCTGGAGACATCTAGTGGAGAAAGTGAAGTATACATTGTCTCCAGAAGCACACTTACCAGCTATTATATTTTGATGAGATATTAATTAATACAAAATAAACATGAACAATCTCAACCATTTTTCTTAAGATTTATTTATTTATGCATACAGAACTGGGGTACAGGCCAGAGATGCGGAGGGTGAGAGGATTCACCAGAGACAAAGTGGGGAGCAGAACAGGCAGATTGATGAAGTATACTGCTGAGGGGAGCAGTGGCCAGGTCAGGAGAGGTCTTCCACGCCATGTGGATCTCCTCCGGGGCAGACGGGAATTGAACTCATGCGGAA